ATGAAACGTTTCATCTCTCTTCCAAGAGACTTCTTCAGTCTGAGAGTTTCATGTGATGTGAGTATCAGTCACCTGTGAGTCATAGCCAGGTGATGTGAGTGGGAGTCACCTGTGAACGATGGTCATGTGATCGTTCACAGGTGACTCCCAGGTGAGTATCAGTCACCTGGAGGCAGGACATAAAAGCCTGAATTTTGCCTGAAACTCTCAGACTGAAGAAGTCTCTTGGAAGAGAGATGAAACGTTTCATTAAAGAAGAACCCGTCCAGAGGACCTATACAATTTTTTTTCCTTTGATTTTTTACCTGGATTACTGAGATGCATCAGGACACATGGGTGAACTCTATTGTCAGTGAATCTCTGGCTAAGGATTGCCCCGACTCCAGAATAAGAAGCATCAACTTCCACAATAAACTTTCTTTCTGTATCAGGGAAGTGGAGGATAGGGACTGTGGTGAACATTGTCTTGAGACATTTGAATGCATCTTCAGCATCTGGATTCCACAAAAACATGGTTTTGATTGAGGTTATCTTGTTGAGTGGAGCTTCTACTGAACTGTAGTTTTTGATGAAGTGTCTGTAAACGTTTGCAAAGCCTAGAAAGCGCTGTAGTTGCTTACAGGTCTGGGTTGTGTTCCAATCTTGGACTGCCGTGACCTTGGATGGATCTATGGAGATTTGGTCTGGAGCTCTCTTGAATCCCAAGAAGGTAGTGTCAGTTATGTGAAACTCACATTTTTCTGCTTTGACGTACAGCTTGTTCTGGAGAAGTTGTAGTAGAATGGCTCGGACCAGTTCCTGGTGTGAGTCAAGATCCTTAGAAAAAATTAGAATGCCATCTAGGTAGACGAAAACATTAACATTAATGAAATCACTTTGAACATCATTAACCATATTTTAAAACATGGCAGGAGCATTGGTTAACCCAAAGGGCATGACAAGATATTCGAAATGTCCTGAAGGGGTGTTGAAGTCTGTCTTCCATTCATCACCTTCCTTTATTCTCACCAAATGGTAAGCATTGCAAAGATCAAGTTTTGTGAAGATTTTAGCCCYTTGAATCAAATCAAAATCTATATTCCTTAATGGTAGAGGGTACCAGTTTTTAACAGTTATGTCGTTCAACCCTCTATAATCAATACAAGGGCGAAGAGATCCGTCCTTCTTCCCTACAAAAAGAAAACCCGCTCCAGCAGGGGAAGAGGACAGATGGATAATACCTGTTCTTAAGGATTCAGGGGTCGGATTTATAAAACTGGCGTACGCACAATTTGAGCCCAGAAACTTGCGTACGCCACTTTTTACGCCAAGGTTGTGATTTATAAAATCCAAACTTGATGTGAAAATGTGCGGTGCCTCACGCCAGCTCTGACCCATGCGTACGCTCATTTTGGAGACGGGAAGCTGCGACACAGATGGTGAAGTGAGGAATTAGAGTCACCCTGTGTAATGATCACTGTCAGATATTTAATTTACCTTCAGAATCAGACTTAAATAAAAGTTCCCGTGCGCAACTCYCTTCATCTGCTTCCTCCTCAGACAACCCCGACCCATACAGACCACTCCCCGATAAGAACAGCAGGACAGCAAAAGCTGTGGTTACACGCGCAGTGCACGCCCACCTCGCCATTGTGAATGTTAAACCTTCATGTTTAAAGTCCGTGTTTGTCACGCGCGCACGGGGGGGCGTGCGTGCGCGCACGGGCGGTGYCTGCCGCAGATAACAGAGCAGGCAGGAGGGGGAGAGGAYGAAGAGAAGAGCAGTGGACTTATTTCTAATTTTATCTGACTAATTTAACTTAATTTTTTTTATCGTGCAGGCTCTGATGGAAAATTAATTTGAAGCTAAGGCTTTTTA